TGTTTTTTGTATTTTTCTATGTTTTAAATTTGTTCTGTACGTTATTTGTAATTTTTTATATATTTTATATATTTTTTGTATGTTTTTTGTATTTTTCTATGTTTTTTTTTAAATTTGTTTTGTACGTTATTTGTAATTTTCTTGTATGTTTTATGTTTTTTGTATTTTTTGTATGTTTTTTTGTATTTTTGTATGTTTTTTAATTTGTTTTGTACGTTATTTGTAATTTTCTTGTATATTTTATATGTTTTTTGTATTTTTGTATTTTTTGTATTTTTCTATGTGTCTTGTAATATTTTTTTACTTTATTTGTAATATTTTATATGTTTTTTTGCATTTTTTGTATAATTTCTATTTTTGTCATGTCTATTGATGTTTATCATTACATCTTCTTGTTTGTGTGACGTGGCCCCACATGACGTTGGCGATCATAGCTCTCCACACTTTCATGTGCTTTTACCTCTTAATAAATTTTGTCTTATTTTCCCCAAACCCTCTTCCGACATTCATTTACTCAAGCTTATTAATTATGTTATTCCTCAATCTGTCCTGTGAGTATCAGATTTTCTAAGCCCTCCTTCCTCATGTATTCTAGGAATTTCAACTCTCTCTTTCTAATGTTAAGTATCAGTTTTCCTTTTTCTTTCTATTTTCTCTAAAACCTCGGCTTTTTCTCAGCATCCTTCTGTAGAACCATATTTATGCTGCTTCAAGGTTCTTCTTCATCTTTTATGCGACTGTCCAGCATTCATAGTTATATAGGAGGACACGCATCACGTAATAGTTTTGTACACTCGGTGGAGTAATGGATAGCGGCTCGGAGTGAGGAATCGGCGAGCCGAGTTCGAATTCCAGTCGAATCCATTACATTCACTTTCGTGCTAATAATCTTGGGAAAGGCATGAATCCTATTCTTCTTCCTCTCCCCACAACTATGGGTAAATAGCAAGACAGACCGGGTTCTATAGCCTTTGATAGCAACTAGTCTACCGCAGTAAGAAAAGCAGCCTACTGCTGGAAAAAATCTGCCTTATCAGTCATTTATCGAGACATGATCGCCTAAGCGTGTATCACGCATGCCACATAACTGACTGAAATTCACTTGCGTGGTAATACCCTTGGGAAAGGCATGGATCCTAATCTTCTCCCCTACAGTTATGGGTAAATATCAGGATAGACCGGGTTCTATATCCTTGGGTAGCAGCTGGTCTACCGCAGAAAGAAATGGCATCCTACTGCGGGAAAAAATCTGCCTCGTCAGTCATGTATCGAAAGATACATGATCGCCTAAGCGTGTATCACGAATGGCACGTAACCGACTGAAATTCACTTACGTGCTAATATTCTTGGGAAAGGCATGGATCCTATTCTTCTCCCCATCAACTATGAGTAAATAGCAGGGCAGACCGGGATCTAAAACATTGGATAGCAACTGGTCTACCGCAAAAAGAAATGGCTACCTACTGGAGGAAAAAAATCTGTCTCGTCAGTCATATATCGAGAGATACATGATCGCCTGACTGACTCTGATTCTAACGAAGTTTTTAGGCTTCTTAATACTTCGCTTAGCTTTTGAAATGCATCTTTGTAGTTCTCAATGATTCCTCGGATTTCAGTGACACACTTTTCCGTCCTGTGTTAGAATAATTCCCAGATAATTAAATGTCTGTACTTGTTAAATTCTGATATCCCTGATTTGTAATTTACACTTTGAACTAATCCTTTGGCTAACAATCCCTCTTGACGTTTGCGTTTAGTCCTTTCTTCTCGCTTTCCTTTTTCTACCTTCTGTGGGAAACGTGGAATCAATAAATATCTTTTACATAGTGATGGTAGTATTTCAAAAAAAAATTTCTCCAGTGTCAATTATGAATAAATTATCCTCTATATAATATTATTTTCTACAAGTATAGCATACCGTTCCTGCTTATGTGATGTGCCCATTCAAGCCGACCATGGCTATCCACAACTACTTATCCTTAGTAACTCTAAGTAATACTTATCTACTTACATACACCACGTGTCTTTGTTAGATTTATTTACAATAAAGAGCCACTCGAGGTAGAGGGGTAAATAGTAAGCGGCTCGCAATAGCATGGTAGTCTGCTCTTACTTGCCTTATCTGGCAAGCAATCCAGGGAAAGAAAAACTCTGAATTCACACTCTCAGAAATAATAAAACAAACTGAACGTTTAAGCCTTTATTGTGTAACCAATCTAGGAGAAGGAAAACTCTGAATTAAGCATTAAGAAAGAAGGGATTCGTCAGAATATTTTGCAATGACAGGAACACTGGTGCTGAAGTCATAAGGCATTTGGCGCCTAGATGACATACATATCCCCGATAAATAAAATCTTAACCTGTTCAAGTCTAGGTTGAACTGATAACTTCTCCGCATATGCTTATAAAGTGTGACGTTTACTCTGTAACACTATACCTCGCCTGGCTCAGGGGCGTTGAATATTATTTTTAATTGTACGGGGGATACCGAAACATTCACGTCCAAACCCACATATTTACCAAGTTCGGCTTTTTGCCACATCTAAGCTGCGCTTAGAAAAGCACCATACTGACCAAGATACCAAATATCAAAATATGGAGAGCGGCGATGGCCATATTCGAATCGAGAACTTTAACTACTTCCTTGTATAAACATAGGTATGATCAGTTTTTAGCGGCCTTAAAAGAGAACAGCTTGAAGTCTGAAGTGAACGTTTATCTAAGTAGATTTTCCGGGGCAAGAGCCTCGTTGAAAGAATAACAATTTATAGAGAGTCAAGAGGAAACAGTGTTTAATCTGTGAAGATGAAACGTGGAGAAGAAACACAAAATGTGTCTCGCCAAACCTGGCATTTCAACTGCACTTCGACGGGTGAGAATCGACGGTTTTCGATTCTCACCTGACCAAGTGCAGTTGAAATCCACTGAAACGAAGTTGCATCTTTGTAGAGAGTAAAATGGTTTTGGTCCATATGATAAAATTATAAAAAATAAATAATATATATATTAAGGGACCAAGAGACAGCAGATAGACATGAAGAAACCGAGATAGATAGATAGATAGATATGTTTATACGCATTCGGGGTGTGTAATACATTACGTAATGATACGATTACATCTGCTGGTTTACATTTCTATTTCTACATGAGTCTAAGTCATTTTCGGTGTGTGGGCTGATGTATCATTTGACTTTTAAAACTGAAAGAGGAGACTCGCTGGAAAAGCAATATACCTTTCAAAATTAACACATCTGAAATTTATGCTCCGAAACACGTATAAACTTATGCGGGTGGATACGAATCAAGGCTCGCATACACACACACACGCACGCATGCGCACATGAATGCGCGCGTTCACGCACGCGCATGTACCGCATCAATTGTTTGACTTGATTTATACCTTTCTTTCTTTCTTTCTTTTTTCTTTCTATACACGTATCAATTTATCTATATTCGTGTCTGTTTCCATATGAATAGAATGTGTCTCATCATGTCTGTTTGACTTTGTTTATAGATTTGCTACTTATCGATCTGTCAGTTGAAAGCAGAAACATGAACACGCACGCATATATATATATAGTAAAATTTTATTCAAACCGAATAATTTTGCATATATATATGTGTGTGTGTATATATATATATATATATATATATGCACACACACAAAATTATTCAGCTTGACTGAAACTTTCCTACCTAAATTTGTTCTATCTATCTATCTATCTATCTATCTATCTATCTATCTATCTATCTATCTGTTAATTTCTATGTTAGATATGTTTGCGTATGTATTGAATATGTCTCATCATGACTGTTACTCTTTCATTATAAATTTGGCTCTATGTTTCACTTTCAGGCAACCAATTTTCAACGTAAGCGCAAATATATATATATATATATATATATATATATATATATATATATATATATATATAGTTAATACATACATTATCTATCTATCTATCTATCTATATATATATATATATATATATATATATATATATATATATATATATATATATATATATATATATATATATATATATATATATATATATATATATATATATATATATATATATATATATAATATATATATATATATATATATATATATATATATATATTCATTCGTATCAACCCGATTTTTTTTGAATTTGTAAGTCTGATGATTTGGATCGTAATTAAGATTTCAATGTAAAATAATTATAACCATGGAATATTAGTGTTTGAGACTTTTATATTATCTATCTATATCTATATCTATCTATCTATCTATCTATCTATCTATCTATATATATATATATATATATATATATATAATTACAAGTGAACATTGAAGTCAACACTCAGAGGCGACAAACTGTTTCATGCTAGACTAAATCGTCAGGCTGCCTGACGATTGCTTCTAGTCTGTCGCCTCTTGAGTATTGAATTCAATTTTCACTTTTATATATCAATTTATAGACGCTCTATCTCTGATAATGAGCACTTTATCCTATAAATATAGCCCACCTCAAAATTTTTATTTATTTACACACACACACACACACACACATATATATATATATATATATATATATATATATATATATATATATATATTAGAAAATGATATAAAAATGTTTTATATATCAAGAACAATTTTAGGCAAACTTTAACATTTGTCATAGTTTTCCTTAATACATACATATAGGTGTTTGTGTACGTACATGTGTATCTTTTATATATATATATATATATATATATATATATATATATATATATATATATATATATATATAAGGAATGGACAAAGTCCGACAATTTATTTATTAAAACATTTTTATGTTTAACGTTCTTTTTTATAGATACAAGTATTTAAGTAAATGCTCTGTTTATAATAAACAGTATTAAATAACATTTACCAGCCTGAATGTCCGAGAAAGTTTTAAATGACGAATATTTTTATGAAAATTTCTCGGACATTCAAAATATTTAAATGTTATTTAATACTGTTTATTATAAACAGAGCATTTACTTAAATACTTCTATCTATAAAAAAGAACGTTAAACATAAAAAATGTATCAGTTCTTTATGAGTTAATTCGAATGCCCCTCGAATTTTTCAATTTCCCGAGTAAGGATGGGGAAAATATTACAAAATACTTCAGAGAAGCATTTATGCAGTTCACCATTGGTAACTAGTTTGGTTTGTTTTTTTTTTTTTGTTTTACGGCATATCAGATCTGTCAGGGAGATTCACTTCTGCATTAGTGGTGAGTTGATCCTGACAATCAAAGAGAAGCCAGTAAAAAGCATCTGATATCTGTATTAAATTCCACTAACAGATTGGCGTGGCGTTAAAGGCGTTATATATGAATTGTTCAAACGTCCTTAAACAACTCACCATACTCCTCCAGCGAGCATGGAAGCAAAATATTGTATCGTAAAAATGGTGCCTGGCGGCATTTGACTACCGAAAGAAAAAAATGCGAAAGCCATTGCAAATTTCCACCTCATCTATTTCTTGAATGTACAAGGGAAACATTGTTTTTTGCCGTTCGTATGACGGACTTCCTGCTCGGTAACCATTACATAAACACAGCTGTCTAGAAGGCTCTGATACCTGGCTTCCTAAATTGTCTGGAGCATCTTAGCCAAACAAATTAAAACTGAGCTTCATGCAATTTGACTTGATCTCGTGAATTCGTATGGATCAGAGTCTGTCTATATTTCTGAGATGAGGTATTATGTACAGTATTTACATTAGTCGGACTATTGTCCTCATATTTGTCGCCATATTTGTCACAACGTTTCGGTCGTTGTACGCTCCGGCCTTCTTCAGTGGAGAACTTTCAGAGGGAAAACTAGCAGGAGATAACTGATAACTGACATCCATCAAACATGGCACGTGGAACTAGAAAAAGTCTACCCCAGTGATCGAAATAAAGGGTTCAGTTCGAAATTCCAACCACCTGAAGAATGCCGGAGCGTACAACGGCCGAAACGTTGTGACAAATATGGCGACAAAGATGAGGACAATAGTCCGACTAATGTAAATACTGTCGTATGGACCAGTTCCTTAATCAGTTAATGTCCTTTTAAATTTTAAATTTACCTAGTAAGGTTGAGGAAATCATAATGAAATATTTCAGAACAGCTTTTATGTAATTGACCGTTGGTAACTATACCACCGTGTGGCAAGCCCTCAAAATCTCCATCACGATGGGGTGTGAGATTTCACCACTTCTTTTCATTATATCCATGGAACTCATATTACAGGCTGCAGAGGGGACAGCAAAGGGTGTAATGACTAAGGAACAAATGGTCCTTCCTTCATCCAGAGTGTTTACGGATGACATCTCCATTCTGGTCTTGTCTAAGGTTGGTGCCAATGAACTGCTGCAGTGCTACCATAAGCTCTTCATACGGGCGTGTATGAAAGCCGAAGCTTTTCATTACTCGGAGGCTTTGTCAGGGAGAGTCAATTCTGATACGGGGATGGGAGGAGTTGTAACATAATCCCGACAGTCGAAGAAAAACCAGTGAAGAGTCTATGAAATTCTACGGACTGATCGGCACCGAGGTAAAGATTTGCAGAAAGTGGCACTAGCTGGACCAGAATCTATCGACAGAACCCGTTTCTCCGACAAACTGTAGTCTTGGTACTACCTACATGGTTTGCTGCCCTGGCTTCTGTGGCCATTGCTGGTGTATGATATTACTCTGTCTTGCATTCAGCAGACACAACAGTGTATCAACAAATACCTGCTTCTCCACGGTGGGACTCTATACCAGCTCCTCATTGTTGGAGGAGTTACCTACGAAATTTCTCGAACATTCACGCCTGTAGATGTAATTAATACTGTTTAATTAAAAACAGAACATTTACTTAAATAAATTGTATCTATAAAATTAACGTCTAAACAGAAAATATATTAAATATTTGTCGGACCTAATCCATTTCAAAATATGTTGTCATTGTTTACGTTAAGATACATTTCGTGAGCAGATATGATCATTCGAGAAATATCGTTGAAGATTGTGTTTATAAACAGTAATTTGGACTTTGCTAAATGGACACTACTTTGCGGATATACAAATAAAGTTATAATGTTTTAAAGTGCACACGAACTTTATAGACACGCTGTATATAAATTATATAGAGAATGAGATAGGGTGGGGGAAAAGACAGAAATTCTAGTATTTTTGTGTCTGATTTTCATTGGTTAATCATGTGTTACGTACATTGGACTTGTTTAACAAACGTTAGTATAAATGTGGTTTACCAAATTCAAGAAGAAACTTTTCTTTCTGATGTATATATGAAAGGTTTGCCTGTTTTTACACACACACACACACACACACACACACACACACACACATATATATATATATATATATATATATATATATTCGACTCTCCCGTCGAATTCGACGTATGAGGGTCAAGTAGATCAGTTCCTAGGAAACCGAAAGCCCGATAACAGCACATGACATTTGATTATAGTGGTGAAGGTTTCGTGCAGGACCATCCACACTTTTTGAAGGGCCGAATACAGACACCTGGTGCACTAAGTGCCACAAGGTTCCCCAACGACCCTCCGCAGGTTTTGAATTCAGAGTTGTCTTTCTCCTAGACCAGTTGCCATCCAAGACTATAGAACCCAGTCTGTCCTGCTATTTACGCATAGTTGGAGGGAGAAGAAGAGGATTCATACCTTTCCCAAGGGTATTAGCACGGTGGAATAATGGATATCGTCTTGGATTGAGGAATCGGAGAGCCGATTTCGAATTCAAGTCGAATCCATTGCATTATATATATATATATATATATATATATATATATATATATATATATATATATATATATATATATATATATAAGATTTCATCTACGGACTTAGGATGCAAAAGACAAAATTTGCAACAACATAAAACATAAAAAAAATTCTGACGGAAAAAATAATTCCAAATCGTCAGCGATGTATTTCAAAATTTGCGGACTTAGCGGAACGAGTCATAGTTCTCCAAGTGACCGCTTGGCGGCGGTGGTGGGCTTTTCTATTGTAAACAAACACGGGTGTACAGTATATAAAGTACGATACATTAGCGCAGGCGTAAGAAATCTATTATTTTTGTTATTTTGATTAATATACCTATATTAAGTATATATTTATTTATGTCATACATACATGTTTATGGTATTTAAGTTATCAGCATAACTACTGGTAGTTACTATAGCGCTTTTATAGCTCAAAAATAATCCTTTCCCATCTACGGATGAATCGGCTTTAACGGACCACCCATCCCTCAATCAGTCCGTTGATGAGAGGTTTGTCTGTACATATTATTACACTCTTAAAATGTTTCTGAAAGTGTTAGCATAAATAAAGTTTCCTTTTAGGTCTAGACCAGTGTTTCTCAACATGGTCCATGTGACTACCGGTGGTCCACATAGCATTTCTAGTGGTCCACAGAAAAATTGTTGCCATAAAAAATTGTAGTCATTTCACAAAAAATGTATTTAAATTATAAATACGTAGAAAAATTAAAAAAATATATAATATTTTAATGTACCTTATATTTGAAAATGACGAAATTGTGTAGGTATTATGCAGTGGTATATTTATTATAATTCAGTTTCCTAAAAATAATGGTCTATTTAATCAGAGAAATGAACTTACTGTCATATGTAGGCATTGTAAAATGTTCTCGTTAATGAATTTTCATAAAAAAATCTATGTATTCCAATTATATATCTATTATTTTATTAGATATAGTGGTACATGTAATATTGATTTAATTCCTTGATTTTTTTTAAATTTTAAAATTACCATGTATTAAGACTTATTAAATGATATGAATTGTATTTTAAGTTCAAAATTATATAAAAACGATTTAATCATACCAGTGGCTTCTTTAAGATAGTTCTAAAGTACATGAAATAATAATTTTTTAAGAATAACAAAACCTATTGTTAGAGATATACATATCTCACAGAATATTTCTTTGTATTTTAAATGTATACTCTTAACCGGAAGTATGTCGTCTATATATGACAGTTCCCCAAGATATGTATGAATACCACATCTCCACCCAATACCTAACCTATATTTGTAACTTTTCTGATTTAGCTTTGACCTTTCTTTTGATTAGTTAAATGAGACTTACCCATACCATTTAAAAATCTGGATTAATTCTTTAATAAGCAAGCATATTGTTTTCTATTTTCAAATGTAAATCATTTTCATCTAAAATATACCGAACATTGCTAAATGATAAAATAAAAAAAAAAGTGATCATAAACATAGAAAATTTCCCTCTGCAATGTAAAATTTTTTTTTATTCATTAATATATATATATATATATATATATATATATATATATATATATTTGTATATATGTATGTGTGTGTGTGTGTGTGTGTGTGTGAAAAATAAAGAGGTTTTTAGTTAATTACAACGAGAGAAAAGTGTATATATTTTAAAGAAATAAAGAAACCGTAGAAATTTGATTTGAAAAATTAATATGGATTTTTATTTAAAATGCTTTAATTATCATAATTTATTATGGAAAATTCTGCATATAAATAATAAAAAAAAAAATATTATTTTATTTTTATATTTTAATATATATATATATATATATATATATATATATATATGATTAAAAGAAAGAAAAGGTGCCGCAAACGTTTTTGGTTGTAATGTGGATTTAATTTAGAAAAAATATTATGCTTTGTTTTACATAATTTTACGACACGTGTTTCTGGTCTCATTGACCGTCTTCAGGTAATTGGAGATTTCACACATATTATTAAAAATAATTAATTTTTTTTTCCTTATGTTCAATGTTAAATATTCTCGATATGAGACATTCTCTGTTTTGTGTTGGTAATCCGAATTTCATTTCTTGAATTGGAAAAATGAAGATTAACATTAAAACAGCATAATTGCATATAAGGATTTTTGATTTTGTTTTTTCCTTATATTTTTTCTTCATACTGTCGGATCTATATCCATATATTTGCTATATTTATATATATATATATATATATATATATATATATATATATATATATATGTCAATGTGTGTGTGTGTGTTTTTCTTCTTTCATTTTTTAAATTAAAATCTTTATGCATCTGTTGGAATAAATCTATTTTCATTGATTTTTAAAATATAGTATTTTATCTATTATCATTCAAAATAGTTTTTCTAATGATTCTTGTGAAGGGGCAATCCATAAAAATTTGAACTGGACTAGTTCAACCTTACACCTGAATAGTGAGGTTGATCCCCACTGGGCACATCTTACGTGTAGCCTTGTTTCCAACCACGTTAAACTGAGTGAATGACAACAAGGGATAATCCTGATAGATTTAACAAAAAATTTCTATTTTCCTTCCTGGGAGCGCCAAAGACATGTTGAAAATTTATTAAAAATTTTCTGATGAATCAAGAATTTATTCAGCAAGATTTGTTTAAAAGGCCGATGGGTCTTGTCGGATATCCGAGCAATAGGATGGGCAAAATAGTTAGAAAAGTGAACAAAATAAAAATTGAGTCAGTATTCCCGTTTAGATTTTGCCCTTCGGCAGAACCTCGTCTGGGGATAAAAAAAAAAATATATTATTTAAGGCATTATTGAAATTTTGAAATTTTTTTAAATTTGATTCTATAAAAGGGTTCCCCTACGGTTTGGAAAGAAATTGATGGCAAAGAAAAAAAATTGATATCTCAAATATTTCGTCATTCGTATCTTAAAAAAAAGAATCTTAAACAAAATTGAAAAAAATATTAGCCATTGGATTTATTCGCGAGATTTCTTATTTGAAATATTTGTTTTAAAAATTTTCTGGGCAATTCAAGGTTAGAGATCCAAGAATAAGGGTTAATGTCAATAGTAACGTTATCCCATGACTTATTTGAAAAATAACTTATTTGAATTTAGATGAAGCATTATCAGTTCTTATGTTCTATAGTTATATATGAAATATATATTTTATCCTTATTTAGGATCAGGATCATTTTGAAATATTTTGATAACTTTTAAGAAAAATTGAAATAGAGTCTGTTTTGCCATCAAAAATATCAAATGGATTACTATCTTTCTTTTTCTTTATTTTATTTCATTTCTAGACTTTTTTTCTTGCTCTTTCACTCCATGAAATTAATTCGATTTTTGTTCTTCAAAGGTTTCTGAATTGAGTTTTTTTTCTTTCTTTTTTTCTTTATTTTTTAACAATGATTCTTTCTCTCTTTCTTTGAAAAAAATTTTTTATTTTTTCTTTCTGTCGCCAAACCATTTTTTTCTTTCTTTAATCACACAAAAAAAACTTTTTTCTTTTTTTAAAATATGTTCCAAATTTTGTATTTTTTTTTTTTCAAAATTTTATCTATCAATGCATTCCTTAAAAATATTTTCTGATCTCCCCACTGAGTCTATCTTTTTTTCCCGCATCCTTTCTTTCTGTTTTTGATAAAGAAAAAAAAAATTGGGATTAACAGGATAAAACGAAATAGTTAGATAGAGGATTAAAAATCAATATATGAATGAAAATAAAAGTTAAAAATGAATTTGGAATTTTGTGTTTTGTTTTAAACAGAATTAATGAAAAACTTTAAACTTTTGTTCTTTGCATATTATGAAAATATTACAATATATAATAATTAGATCTGAGGATATAAAAGAAAATATTTATGATAATGCAACGATCATTTTAATATCGATCTGTTATTTAGCATCGATACTAAATGGCGTGAATTTCCGACAAGCTGTCAGATGGAATCTATTTCCCCAATAAACGTCACTTTGATTTGATATCGAAGCTATTAATCGATGACAAAAATGAAAAAAATGATATAACATATAAACCATAGAAGATTTTCCTTGATATTTTATATTTATTGAATGTATATATTTAAGATGTTTTTTCTATTTTATTATATGTTATATTGATGTCATTAACAAGAGGTACGATGGCTATAATATAAAAGATCCAATCATTCCCAAGACGCAAACTAAACGAGAACGCAATTCTGTTGGATTAAATGAATTAAATAAAGAGCCCTTGATTGTAAAAATAAAAAATCTGCATTTTTATTATTGTCTAATGTGTTATCACTTAATCAGATGAATTTGAAGACATGTTGTTTGCAATGTCAGGTTTAGCAATTTCTTTTAATATTTTTTTCACAATTAAAAAACTATTCTTCTAGTTCAAACATCGAAAGTGAAATATAATTTTATGATTTACTAGAAAATTTATCCTAACTTTATCAAATTTATATCTTATATATATCAATACTAGCAGCATGGCCCGGCGTTGCCCGTGCTTGATTCAAAAAATCGTACGACTCATACAGCAATCGCTATCACTTGACTTAAAATATTTTTGCCCTTCCTTGCCTTTAAAGGAGTGCCCTTTGCCGTGCTGATGTTGCTACATGCCTTACTTCTTGCCTATCTCACACTGCGAATTTTTTCTAAGCTCTATACTAAACATTAAATCTGTTACGAAAAAAGAACTAAACAAAATGAACACAAAACGATCAGCTTTAAAAAAGGACTCGTAACTGGAAAAACCGAATGAAAAAGAATGTTAACAACAAATACTTTTTTCAGTTCTTCGGAATCAGAATCAACGTTGAGTTTAAGCAAGCGAATGAGCCAATTGGAGTAAAGTGCCATACAGATTTAAATTTTTCCCACTTGTGACGAATGCAAATATCGATTTCTTTGCATGCTAGCATGCTTGTTAACATTCGTGTCAGTCAGCTGTTGGCTCTCATGCTGACCAGTAGAATCTTCTTGCCTATTCGTGGCAGCCAGCTATACGCTCTCACTTTGGCCAGTACAAAATGGCCGCAAACTACATGAAAACTGCCGTAGAAGCATGAAAAAATCGATTATTTCCACTATCGATGGGAGTTGGGAAATGCAATCGCTCTTGGTCTTGGCCTTCCCGTAAATTTTAACCGTCGGAGCATGTGCATCGTAAATTTTGTGCAAATCCGTCGAAAATTGCGGCCGTGCATTCGGGGCCTTTTTTAACGAAAGAGTTT